TGAGCCGAAAGGATTAAGAGTTCCAGCTAAAGAATTTATTTGACTTCATCAATAGAGAAGTGCAGAACGCACCAACCCACAACAGCCAGTAAACATGAAATCGGATTCTGCTTTGCGTTCCGTGGAAATTAATTATTAAAGCATATAAGTGCTAAAGTAATAAGTCCTAACCACATGGTGTAATTATATGCCATATGTTAGTCATGTGACCATTACACCTACCTATATTGATTGACATTCAAAATCGAGATGCCCTTCCCTTCCCCCTCTTTTCAAGGCTATAAAGGTGTGGGGGGGAATTTGTGTCCATATAGCCAGATCAGAGCTATGGTGTGGATGAACTTGAGTGGTCTGCACAAACTCATCAAACCATATCCTAAAGTGATTATAAAGCTCCACATTTTTCTTTTTAAACAAACCTGTTATACTTACCTGCTCTGTGCCGTGCTTTTGCACAGAGTGGCCCCAAACCTCCTCTTGGGTCCCCACTGGCATTCAGGGCTCCTCCTCCTCTTGGTGCATCCACATAGGAAACCGCTGTCATAGACGACATGGTTCGGTCCCGCTCTCTGCTCACAGAATTTGATTGACAGCAACTGGAGCCAGTGGCTCCCACTGCTGCCTCTGTGAGCAGAATAAGGCTGGAATACACACATGTGCGATGCGGTTTTTGAAGGTCAGTTTTCACAGCAAATTACAAAGCAGTTGTTCTGCAGTTCATGGCTGGTTCAGATGCGGTTTAGGACAGAATTTGACCCTGGGTTCACATCAGTGTGGTAAATCCCATGTGATTCGCACAGGAACCGCACTGCATTCCATGTACAATCACATGCGATTTATGTGCGGTGCAATTGGAGCCATACATTTTGTATGTATTGCAACCGCACCAAAAACGTGCAGGACCTTTTTTTTGGTCCGCACTAGAATCGGATCACATGGGCATTCACACCTATACAATCCGATTCTGCACATCGCACCGCGTTTTGCGGACTGCTTTCGGGGTGTTGTTAGCTTAACATACACACCTGCAGCGGTTTGCATTAAGGGGGTGCCAGTCTGATGCGGTGCGGAATTTGCACTGAAAACGCGTGTGAACCAGGGCTTAAGAGAGAAGACCGTGCTGAAATTGTGTTAAAAAACTGATGACATGTGCGATTCAGAAGCTGTTCCCATAGAAGTCAGAGCCTGAATTCACACCAGACCTGGACCACACTACTCAGAAAACTGACAGGACTTTTTTTTTTTTCTTAATATATGCACTGACTCTGTAAACCAACTGCACCAGATATACGTGAACAAGCAGAATAGAAAGCAATGTTATTTCACATGTCGTGAATTGGATAGGGTTCAAAACACATCCAATTGGCATATATGTGAACTGGCTCTAAGAGGAGAAAGCCGCTCAGATGGGCACAGTACTGAATCAAGAAAGGACTCCGATAAGTATAAGAAGGGTGAGGTGGCTATACAAATAGAGGGACATTTTATAATATAAAGCAGGGAATGCATTAGGATAAAAAAAAATATCCAGTCTTTCCAACCACTTAATGGAGCTGGATTTGTGCACAATCATACTGGAGCAGCTGAAGCAGAAGAAATAGCTTTTATCATAAATTGTCATCACAAGGTTGAAAGCACATTGTCTGAAATCTTTGTATGGTGTAGTGTTAACAGTATCCTTCACTGGAAACACCTGAACTCAATAGTTTGGAGGGATGTTCACACAGATTTTCCCCATACAGTGTAGGTGGGATAGCCAGGTATGTCCAAACAATTGGTTATGTATGGCTAGTGTTTCTGAATGGTTGTGTCTTAATTGTAGTGTCTTATTTCCTTTGCAGAATCTGAGTACAAGTGAGGGGGGTGAGCAAAGAAATGCACCACCTACAGCGCATGTTCCTCCAGAACTGCTGGGACATATCCACCTACGGAGCGGCCTTCTTCACTGGTCAGATATTCACCAAGGCAACTTCCAGCAGCAACAAGGTCATCCGGGTCTTTGTCAGCGTTAATGTCAATGGGCTGCACCTCCTCAACCTGGAGACCAAGGTACCAGGGTGGCGAAAATTATAGTAGAAGTTATGACTGAGTAGATGGAGGAGGTTAATATTGATATAGTCAGTGGTCAGATATCCACAACAGAATATTCTGTTTCTACTGTGGACATTACAGTGACCAAAGATTATGCATACTGCAGATCACATTGCCATGATCAGGCCATAAGGGAGGGACATTGTCTCTGCAGCTCCAACATGGACATAGTGACAAAGTACTGCAGCTTGTGCTTGGAATCTCAAGGAGACAGAAGATGCCAGTTAGCAATTTTTCGCTCAATAGGGGCCACCAAAGCCACATTTGTGTAGGTTGGGCCATTCAAGATATGATTAGACACACTAGTTACTAAAGATGTATCTACTTATTGTGCCAAGCTTTCTACAAGCAGCTCTTCATATTCCATTCCCAAGCAGTTCTTTGCGTAAAGGTTATAGACCACAGGTATCATTTTAAGTTAGAGCACTCAAATAGCTCTTCCGCTTTGCTTCTTTTAGCTACGTCCCGATTGCTGGCGCCCGTCAACAGAATAGCAAAATGTTGGCTCTCCTGGACTCCCAAAGTCCACATAGCTGCTTCTTCACAAAACCCTTCAGAACAGGGACTGGTAGGGAGGCCTCGACAAGTGTTCCATGTTTACAATTCCAAAAAGCAGAACTATCCAGATTTAAGGATTCACAAACTCTGTACCTTTAACAACGTTGCAGTACCATAGCCTCTACCCAACATGTTTCGTGTGGCTGGCAGGTGATGCCTTCTGTGCAACTTTAACAAAACCTATCATTAAAAATTAAACTAGAGATGTAAAGTGAAGAAGCCTAGAGATACAGGTAACTGCATAGGCAACAGCCTCCCAAACCTTCCTGTCATGTCCAAGTTCTAATGCTGAATGTCGCTCATTCTGCTCCCCACGTTTTAGTGATTAACCCTTCACTATATTGGGCACACTTACTGGGCTTATGGACACTCTTCAGAGTTTTGTCTGTCAGAATGGCCTGACATTTTCCCACAACAGGTAAATTCGGCAAGACCGCTTCATGTATACCGCCTAGGAATCTTGGCTTTTATACCTGCGGCTGCTTTACTTTAATTACAAGATTGTCTTTTAATCAGTTTCTACCATGAATAACTCTTTCTATTTTTTCATCCCTAATGGAATTCAATCAATTCTACCTAATGGTGATGATAAAATATTTATAAGAATGTACTTTGAGCATGCTGTGGCCTTTAATTATACATGTGGCCAGTAGCCATTGGGTAGTGCATTTTCCTGTGGGTGCTTTGTGGAGGAACATAGTTGGGTAACATAAGTATGCCTTGATACGGGAGAGAAGTTACATTCACGCTGGAACGTTTTAGAATTTAGAGCTTCTGTTGAGTGATATTTAGTATAATGTGGAGTGCAATGTCTTACAACATTATAGGATGGCTTCAGCCATCAGGTGATGGTTAGAGACAGTATGGCCGCCCCATACATGTATGGTCCTTCCTCATCTCACTGCTCTCACAGATCCTTTGTTGTGATTTCAGGCTTTGTTGATCAGTCTAAAGTTTGGTGGCTTTAAGTGGCAGTTGGGTGACGGGGACACCTGCTTCCAAATCCACAGCATCCATAATATGGAGAACAAAATGAGTTTCATTGTACACACGAAACAGGTACGTGCCTGGTGTTAATATAGTAAATGTTGTGCCATTCAGCCTTAAGCATTTTGTCATTTGATTCCTGAAGTGGACAGTGTTCAAGATGAACAATCAAATTATTCTGAATGGGCCCATTCACACCTATAGCATAGAGCTTGAATGGTATGTGGGCAAATTTGGTGAAGAATCACAAATATTTGGCACCATAGACATTAATGGAAATGCCTGAAAAACACTGTTACACATGATTTTCACCCCCATTTAAAAGATGTACTTTGCACCGAAATGTATTTTGATGCATTACTATTGATTTCAATTGAAAACGAATGTGACAAAAATGAAAAGTGTGGATGATCAGTTAGATTTGGATTAAATCATGAGGATGTAGTCAATACTATAGCAAAAAAAAAAAAAAAAACATATTTTTGAATGTGCTGACTGATTTTTTGTGCAAACCTTTGTACAAAAACCTACCAACGTCTAGCCAGCTTAAGGTTCCTCCACTTCTCAAGGATTGCAGCTTCGCTCTTTACAACCAGTGGCCTAACTTTATCCATAGCAGCACATGAAGCTACTATGGGGCCTGAGGATGGGAAGGGGGCCGCCATTGGAAGGTTATTGAGGCAAATTAAACATAGAAGACCTGTGGGCATGTGAAGATGATACAGATCCAGTACTGTATCCTCATTAACAATTCACAAGTTTGCAATTGAAGATAGCCCTGATCCCCTGTAAAGTTTCCAGGCTGGAAGTGCTGACATCAGATGCACAGGGGGAGTCTTTGGTTTTTGGTAAGGTGGTGGGGTGCCAGTAGTCACATCTTCTCCTTGCTGCTTTCCCTCTTCCCCATCTGTGAGTAGATTTTACTGCCTTCACAGCTTCTGGGTATCTCTGCAGCACTCTGAAATGAACCATTTTTGTCCAACATAAAACAAAATCTCCAGTGTCTCCTCAGCTAAAAACTGATAAGACAGCTGAGGTATGTAGCTACTGAAAAAAAAAAAAGCCAGAGTTTTAAATAAGTTTGTATCCTAGTCACAGAGTAATTTTGCAGGAGCACTAACAAATATCTAATAATGTAAAATACCATTCTGGTTGTTATTAATATTATTGTTATTATTATTATAGCTACTTCAACTATTATACTATGGCTTCCATTGGGACTCTGTTGCACCTGACAGGATCAATCAAAATGTTGCTATGGATTTTTGTAATCTGTAGTTTACAACGCAGAGATTGCTGAAGTGGTTTTTTTAAGAAAAGCTGACCTTTCCATTCACCATTCAGTCAGTTTGCAAAAGGACATTGCGGGGAGGGGGGGGGGGGGGGGAGAGATCAACAGCACAAAGTGCATTAAAAAAAAAAAAAAAAATCCTGCAATGTGTACTGATTTTATTTTTTTTTTTTTTTTTTTTTTTTTTTTTTTTTTTTTTTTTAAAGAAACACTAGTATTGCGTTTTAAACCTAATGCCTACATTTTGTTTTCTTGTCTTGCTAACAGGCCGGCCTTGTTGTGAAATTGTTGATGAAGCTGAGGCGGGCAGTTTATACCCGGAGATAAGAGCATGACAGAACGATACGGCTACGGGTAGTAAAAGTGGCTGCTGTCCACTCTCACCGTTCTCCTGTGTACTGCCTGCTTACACAGTGTCTCCAGAGCAAATGGACTCTCCTCACCAATGCCTTCAAAATGGACAGAATGGCAATCACTGCCCATCCAGCTGCTTTTTTTTTTTTAAATATATATATTTTTTATATGTTCCCAAACTTTCCTAGGCCTGATCCTTGAAATGCTGTAGAATGCTTGTATTTATTAAATATAGCCTATATATAAAAAAATATCGTTGGCGTTTATCAGTTGTGTTTTTTTTTTTTTTTTTTTTTTTGGTGTGTGTTTTTTTTTTTTTATTGTCCAAACAATGGGTTTTAGTGATTTTATCACTTTGAAGTGTTCTCTTTTGCCATGTAACATTTTGAGTGATTTTGGTAGTTTTTTCACATTTCATAAGCGTTTTTTTTTTGTTCTCCCCCTCTGTCAACATCTGTCCCTTCCCAGCTGCCTCACTACTCCTCTTCTGACACCTATCTGTCTTGACTCTCCTCCACTGACATCCATCCCTCTCCTCCGCCACCTCATCCCCCTCTGCTAGCATCTATCCCATATTGCCCTTGGACCCTTTCTGAGATGCCTCACATCCACCTCTGCTGACATTCATCCCAAATGACATCCTTCCCCAGCCATTCTGCTGACATCTGTCCATTCCCAACTGCCTCATGACCCATTGACATCCATCTCTCCCCCTTTACTGCCATCCATCTCTCCTTGCATGCCTTACCCCCCCTCCCCCCAATAGCTAACATACATCCAGCTCCAAACACCTCAACCTCTTACCGCCTCCTTTGCCATCTATCCATATACCTTTTTGGTGATAGTTAATTGCATCAGAGCCATGAACTGTTCTAGACCAGTGGTCTACAAACTGCTGGGCGGGGGGTTGGGTGGAAGTGGCCCTTTGCTTGCCTTTATCTGGCCCTTGGGGCACTATTCCATCAAATTACACCAATGATCATGCACCATTTCCCTTTACTGACACAATCAATGAGACACTATTCTTCTCATTGGTATCACTAATGGGGCATTATTCATCCCATTAAAACCAATGATGGGGCCCTGATGGCGGGGCATTTTTCTAATCCCCCACTGACCAAAGTCCGCCCCCCCTAAAGCCTGAAGGACAGTAAACTAGCCCTTTGATTTTAAAGTGGTTCTAAAGGCTCAAGGTTTTTTTACCTTCATGCATTCTATGCATGAAGGTAAAAAAACACCTGTGTGCAGAGCCCCCCCCCCCCCCCCCCCCCCCGATTCTTACCTGAGCCCCCTGCGATCCAGTGATGTTCATGATCGCCTCAGCTGTATGGGGACTCTCCCTCCTCATTGGCTGAGACAACAGTGAGAGCTCATCAGTAGCCAGTGAGGAGAGAGCAGGGTGGTGGGGCCAAGCCACAGCTGAATGTGTTTTATGGAGGCATAAAGCAGCGGCCTGGAAGCGAGCAAGCAGTGGTGCCCCCAGGAAACCTGTCACCAAAAAAATCATCACAAAATGGATTTTTTTTCCCCCTATGTGAAGGCACATAAAATCCCTACCCAAAAAATATTTGAGGCCCGCATCCCCCACATATACGCATGTATGAATGCAAACACATGAGTTGAGGGCCCTACGCACAAAAAAATGTCAATTGTGATTCACATGTTGCTTATCGCCACACACACCGGAGTGAGAGAATATTTCTAGTACCAGACCTCCTCTGTAACACCAAACTGATTACCTATAGGGGGTTTTTAAAGCGTCTCCTATGGAAAATATATAGTATTAACGTTTTGTCGCCATTTCGCAGGCGCATACAAATTTAAGGTTTGACATGTTGGGTATTTATTTACTGGGTACAAGCTCATCTTTTTTATATCTTACCAAAAAAAAAAAAAAATGGGTAATTTATTGCGTTTGTGTGCCCTAAAATTAACTTTAATGTATTTGTTTACTGAAATTTTGCAGTTCCTTGACTGTAACATAAAATATTGCAACTATCACTACTTTATTCTCTAGGGTTTCTACTTTCAGAAAATATATAATGTGTTGGGGGTTTATGCAATCTTCAGGCCTAAAATTATTTTTTTTTCGTTTACACGTGTGCCAAAAAAATGCAAAAATGGCTCTGGCAGTGAAAAGGTTATGGTTTGGAGACCGCTGCTCTAGACTGATGTATTCATGCTGCTTCTCTTACAATAAACCCCATGGTGATTTGCATTCTCTAGACTGACATAAGCAGTTCTGATGTTTTTATGTTACCCAGAGGAAACATTACACCTTACAGAGAACCCTTTTATTAGTAACCATGTATCCCAGTGATCATGTATCCCGGTCTCCTCCCAGTACAGATCATCATGAATCAGCAACAGTAAAGATCATCATGAATCAGCATTTTTTTTTTTTTTTTAAATCTTTCCTTTCCATGATCACTAACCACCATCAGGATCAGTGTCTCTGTAATACCCAAACTGCTTCTTCTTTGGGGAATTGGTAAACTGAATTTTCCAATGATAACTGATTAGCACTTGTGTTGGGTAAACTGCAGCATAGACAAATATTTACTTCACATAAATTGACGGAAATGGGGGGAGAATGCTGTGCTTTCAATTATATTCTCAGCAAAATTTGTAAAAACTCATCATCCCAGTCTAGTCATGATGTTGGGTACTCTCTCTTGTCTGCATTACGGAACGCCATACTGCGCTATATTGTAACGCTGTTATATGCAGAAAGGTACTTGGTTTGCCCCGAACACCCATTCAGACCAGCGGCCTATTTGTGTTTTTTTTTCGTGTGTGTTTATTTTTGGTTTTTTTTTTTTTTTTTTTACTTAACTTACCAGCTTTTGATGGACTGACCTTTTAAATTCTATACAATATATGGCCAAAACACTTGCAGACACCTAACCATCACACCTTTTTAAATGGTCAAAAGTATGTGGACCTTTTTTTAGTCTGAAAATTAAATCCTGATAGATCACTGCAGGCTGGCTCTTTTTGATGGTATAGCTATGTAAAACATTATAAATAAGTGCCTATACTGTGTAGAATTCAGTAATGCGCTGTCTTGCCCTGTTCTTCACATGCTCATTTGCACTCTGTTTTTGGAACTGTGCCAAAAATCAGCACAGATTAGGGAGGGAGAGAAGAAAAGCAGGAGAGGTGACAGGACAAACTCTGCTGCCAGAGCCAGAGAGACACAAAGTTACGCTAAAACCTTGTACACTCAAGCTGAAATCGATCAGTTTGGCAGGAACTGTCAAACTTTTGGCCTGTGTACACAGCTGTCCTATAGAGGCCGGTCTCGCAACCAGCTTCTGTCGCACAGGCATGCTGGAAAACCAATGGCTGCCAGTGCTGATCAGTGTATCCTGCTGCGGAGGGGGTTTGAGGAGTCCCCCCGTCAGATTAAAAAGGCACAGCGGGGGAGATCACTGCACTAACATTGCTTGTGTTAATACAGCAATCTCTCCTCTCCTACTGTGTACCCCACTTTACAAGGATGTGTCTTCTTATGTCCCTGATATCCCCTTCTTACTCCCTCATGGGCAGCCTGTGAACTTCAGCACTGTAAAACCTCTGTCAGCATTACGCTTTAATTGAGCCAAGACATACAATCAAGGCTGGAAATGTACATATTTTAATTTCAGAAAGTAACAAAGTTTTTTTGAGACCAAGGAGAGGGGGATAATTTCCAATAAGGAAGTGACTGCTGTGGGCTTCAACAAAATGGCGGCCTTCTGCAAGAAGAAACGAGCAAAGCTGGAGGGAATTTACAGGAAACACTAATTTTGGTAGTATAATTATTAATGTGGAATGTTTTTCTGCTTTTGTTGAAGTACATTAGTTGTTATTAAACTGTTATTGGTAAAGTTCTACTTTAATCAAACATTTGGAAACAAAATCACAGGATACTCACTATCCATGCAATGTGTTACTTGTGCTGATGGTTGCTTCTTTAGTTGAAATCTGAAGTCCTCTGAACCCCCTACCTCCACAGCGGTAGTTTCTTAGGGCTGTGGGGGCTAATGAAGTGGAGGGAATTGTGACAGGCATTCAACAATATCGCTGACCCTCTGCCCACCTCCTCTATTCATAGAAGCTGTACTATAGTTTCCATGAATGAAAGAAAGGTCTGTCTCCATTTATGGAGCACTTTTCATTCATATAAGTTATAGTACTACATCTATGAATGAAGAAGGTGGGTGAAAAGGATGGATAATAATCACTTTTAATGAGTGCATGTCACAGGTCCCTCAGTTCTATTAACTCGGCACTGGAAGACTACCAGTGGGAAGAGGGGGGTGGGGACAGAGAACTTTGGATTTCAACTAAAGCAGCAGCCATCAGCACAAGGGCCGTGTCTCATTGATATTAAGTACAGTCCCTTGTGCTGATTTCTTTTCATGTTTGACTAAACTTAGGCTTTAATTTCAAGTGTTTCCATGCTTTGTAGGTGGTGCAACTCTTAACATAGAAATTCTACATCTATACCATTTGGAAGATGTACACTATATGACCAAATGCTAGAGGACACCTGAGTTGAGGTGTTTCCAGTAAAATGTAGCTATAGCATACATAGATATTTGTGTGCTTACAACCTTGTGGAAGTTTGGAGAAGGTTCTTTTATTTTTTTTGTTCCAACTTGGCTGCGCTCCTATGTACAAAACCAGCTCCATAAAGACATGGTTTGATGTGGATGAAAACTGGTGGCCTGTGCAGAACCCTGATCTCAGCTCTACTGAACACCAAATGGGTGCTAGGTCTTCTCATCCAACATCAGTGCCTAGCCTCACAAATACTCTTAGTGGCTGTTGAAGCCACAAAGGGGGAACAATACAATATCAATGTTACATAGTTAGTCTGGCTGGTAAGAGACAAAAGTCCATCCAGTTTCAACCATATATAAAAAAAAAAAAAAAGTTATAATCCTACACCCACAGCTGATCCAGAGGAAGGCAAAAAAAAAAAAAAAAAAATAGCAAAGCATGATCCAATTTGCT